TCACTTGGGTTGTTACCAACATCTGGTGAAAATTTCATGTCATTAGCACCTCTAGTAATATATTTACTGAGAAAAATGGTGACGTGTTCAATACTTGTTTTACCCGCTGTATTTGAATAACACTGTGGTTCCTTCCTGCTTGTGCCATCTGTGTCTGTATTCTGTCCAGGAGTAACAGCTGCTGTAGGCTTCTTGAAAAGTAACACTTCTGTTCTCGTACTCTTGGTTGTGTGATGTTCTTTTGCTCTTCTAATGATGTTGGTGACAACCAGAGATGGAGGACATCGAGTTCACGGCGTGCCTGGTCTCGGTCTACCGTCAGTCAGACACTATGTTGGTGGGCCAGCAACACCAACGAGGCTTAATGTACAAAAGAATTGGACAAAAGCTGGTGTGAATGTAGAAAATGTCGGCTCTGGTTAATCAATGACCCGATGTGAACTCATCGACTCAGACACAAGAACTGAGCTGAAAGCAGGAAGGGTCACCCAGGTGGAAGGGAAGGGGGTCTCTGTAGTCACTAAGTGGAACACTAGGTCACTACTGTGGAGAGTTCTGACTTCTCCTGAAGAGCCCCAAACACTCAGTTGCTGGTTAATAATTTATAAAATAGCTTGTAAATTTATAAAATAAGTTATAACAGTTATAACAGTTATAACAAGTTCCTCGCTCCTCCCGTGTGGAGTTCCCCAAGGACATAATCTTGGTCCCATTTTATTTTACTTCTATACGCTCCTCTGAGGCTCAGTTTTAGAAAAATTTAACATCCAAGTTAATTTATATGCAGACGACACTCAGATCTATATACAGTGAAAGCATAATCAAGCTTTTTCACTAAAACCAGTTTGACTTTGAGGCAAAAGCTGTTCATTTTTTATTTAACTTTATTGAAACAAACTTATAAAACGTTTTATACAAACCTTCAGTAAGATATTTTTTCTAAATAGTTTAAAGTAGCAGCATCTTAAAAATGTCAAGAAATGTAAACAATTATTCCCAAAATATTTAAGGGATGAATTAGAAATGTGACCAAAAAGTCTTTGAAAGAAATTGATAAATTTGCTGAGTCATGAAAGCGGTCCTTTAGTGCAGTAGAGCTGATAAATGGTTCTGCTCAGAGCTGGACCCAAATTTCTAAAAAACAAAAAAGAAAATAATAAATTTGTTGTTATTTTTGCAGCTATGAGTTTCTTTCAAAGGTTTAATTTTTCTTCCATTTTATGAGAGAAAAACAAATAAATCCCAACAAACCTTTTGAGTTTCCCACATCGGATACAGGAGAGGAGTTTCTCTTTCTCTGCTTCACTGGAGCAACGATCATACGCTGCTAAAAGACTGAAGGAAACAAAAAAACCATTAAATAATACAAAAAATATACATGATTTCATTACTGAAATTAAATGAAACCCTGTAAACAGTTGTTTACCTGTCAGGTGTGCTGTAAAGCTCTAGTATAGCAGCAGCTTTGTCTCCAGACAAGCCGCTGATCTGCATCAACTGTCTGGCGAAAACTTCTCTGACCGTCTGACTCTGAGGGGGAAGAAAAGATGGCCGCTCAACAGAGATTAAAAGAAGGAAACAAAGTTTCCCTCAAACGTTTATTGTTTAAACCTTGTTTTTAACGGCTCTGTAGTTGAACTCTGCGAAAGAAATAAGCGAGCAGGAGGCGGGTCCTCCCTCCTCTTCATCGACCGCCGCGTCGCCCTCCAGCTCTCTGGAGCGACGGATCAGAGTTCGGTTCTGAAAATAAAAACAACAAAATAAAGTTTAAATTTTTTTTTAAAAAGCATCACAGCAAGTTTTATAATCGGACCTTGTCTCACCTTGTAGAGTCTGGTCAGGTACCGGGTCATGATGGTCAGGTAGGCGACCGACTCCCGAACATCCTGGACTCGCTTCACGAAGAACCCGTCGACCACCTGAGCCACAGAACCATGATAAGAACCGGGCGAGGATCTAGATCTGTTTCTAAAAATCAGCTGTCAGTTTGTTTTCTGCACCTGCTGAGGTGAATCTGTACCTGCGTGTTGACGATGGCCTGCTGCAGAGTGGCTTCAGGTAAACTCAGGTGAGAGGCAGAGGCTCCGCCCCCTTCCACTAAATAAATGGGCCTACGAAGGCCACACCTTTTCAGCCGGAACTGATGGAGGAAAACGGAGAAAAACAAAATTTAAACTCTTTCATTCTGGAAGATTTTCTGTTTATTTAATCTATTATTATTATTATTAATATATATTTTAATTAATGATTAAAACTGCCAGCAGTGATCAAAATGAACGGATTAAAATAAAATCATTTTTGTGTTTTTGTGCAGCAGGTAGTGAAGAAGCTTTGGTCCAAATTTAAAGTCAATACCTTCAAATATAAAGACAAAATAACATACTGTATGTAAACTCAACATTTGATTCAAAAAGGCCGACTTCCTGTTAGTTTTACAATATGATGCCAGGACACTTTTTGGAAGAACCTGCACCGGTGCACCTATGTATCAAATTTCATACGTGTATGTTAAAGTCATAAAAAGGGCTGCAATCAAGATGGAACTAGCCAGCTAATTAGCCACGGACACATCTGGATTTTTGCACTTCCCCATATTTATGCTAGTCCTAAATAATTACCAAGTTTCATAAAGCTCAGCCCTCTGGAACATGGTAAAGTAAAAGCCTCCTCTCTGCAGAAAAATAATAAAAATAACAAATAATAATAATAATAATAACAAAAATAATAACAAAAAAATAATAGAAAAATAAGAATGATAAAAAGAATAACAAAATAATAATAACAACAACAACAACAACAACAAAAATAAATAAATAAAAAATAAGAATGATAAGGAAAATAATAATGATAAAAAGAACTAGACATAGGTTTTTACGATGTAAAACCAAGTGTGCATTGCCATGTAGCATGTCATTGCAGAATGAACTTTGACCAAGTTCAAATGTGTTTTCTATACCAGCTTGTGCCTGTCACATCAGCAGGTGTTTGTAATAAGGGTAATTGAGTGACAATATGAAGTTGGAAGAGATTGGTTGTTAAAGTTGCTTTAGTTGGGTTTTGAACCCTGATCTCCCACATGAAAGTCCGTGACATAGACCATTAGACTGTTGGAGCTGTGACAGAAGGTGGTGGCAGGGGTTGGTTTGTATGTGTGCAGAAAGAGGCCACATTGCCAATGCAATTGTTGACGCAGAACTGCATAATATTACAAGAATAGAGCAGTATTAAGACAATATTATAGTAAAACATAAAAATACAATCATATTAGTATTGTAATCACTGAACTACTGAGTTGAAATATTAAACTATGGTGCAGTGCCAAGATGAGTACAGCATGGGGCAGTATTGGACCAGTACAAGGCTCCATTGACTGGCATTAAATGATTTTAAACATTAATATTTCAAAAAGTATAAGTTGTACAGGCACCAAAAGGCATAGCCATCATTTGGCACAGGAGCCATACACATATAAATTACAATGGCAGCTGTAGGACAAAGTATGCAGGAGGAGAAGTGTGCCAAAGTGGAGATGACTTGGATGGGAAACGAATCACAATAATGTGCATTGCATTGGCAATGCACACTGATAACAAAACAACAACAACAACAAATAATAAAAAATAAGAATGATAAGAAAAATAATAATGATAAAAATAATAAAAAATAATAAGCAACATCATCCCTCTGGCCCTAACAACCAAATTTAACCAAAAATCAAACTGTCACCCTGGCTCACCTTCTGCTCCCTGAAGCGTCCATCGATGATGCTCCCACACAGGTCGTCCATCCTCTTCCTCTCGATGATGTAATCGAGTACGAGCTCCCGGCCGACAGGAGCTCGCAGCTCACCTGCAGAATAATCGGTTTTAATGATCATCAAAGGGTCCACGTCAGACTCAAGGTGTCTTTTCTCTGATTGGTTGGTTGGTTTTCACCTGGAACAGGTGAGACCTTCTCCTGAGCCACCCACAGGAAGTCGCCCACGTTCAGCTTCCTGACATCGAAGCGGACGCCGTTCTTTTGGAGCTCCTTGACGAGCTCCTGTTTCCGGTGGTGGCTGCCGCTGAACCAAAATTAAAAAAATAAATAAACAAAACAACAAACAAGTTGATTTTTATTTATTTTCTGCTCGTCTCACCCGGTGGTCTCGATGAAGTCCACGCAGAGGACGATGTCGTAGCTTCCAGGAAGGAGACGTTCTGCGTTATTTCTGCTCCCAGTTTGAGAACTCAGAGGTTTTTGAGATACACAAACATCATCATCATCAGTCCTGGACTGAGCCACACCAGCTGATTCCTCTTCTTCATCGCCACTTCCAGTTAGATCGACCACACCTTCCTCCTCCTCCTCTTCTTCTTGGCCCACACCCGCCTGACGGTCCACCAAAGCCAGCCTCTCAGCCAGAGCCAGACCTTCTTCTGTCAGAGAATACCTGAAACCAAAACGATCAGAACCAGATGACGTGCTGACCTTCAGTGATGACCGTTAGCCTGTTAGCTACGTGTTTTAGCTACACTGGGCTACTACCAGATCAGATTTTAGCTCATCGTCTGTCTGTGATTATATCAGGAGTCAGGTGTTTACCTGTACATCCATCCATCCATCCATCCATCCATCTGTACATCCATCTGTACATCCATCTGTACATCCATCCATCCATCCATCCATCCATCCATCCATCTGTACATCCAACCATCCATCCATCTGTACATCCATCCATCCATCTGCACATCCATCCATCCATCCATCTATCCATCTGTCCATCCTACCATCCATATGTACATCCATCCATCCATCTGTACATCCATCCATCCATGTGTACATCCATCCATCCATCTGTACATCCATCCATCCATGTGTACATCCATCCATCCATCTGTACATCCATCCATCCATCTGTACATCCAACCATCCATCTGTACATCCAACCATCCATCTGTACATCCAACCATCCATCCATCCATCTGTATATCCAACCATC